GACCTATACGAGTTTATAGTCTTTAGACCAAACGAGTAAGATCAAAGCAAAAAAACATTAGATACCACGCTTTTATAAATTATCGTTTCCTGATCGAGCGTACTATTAAAAATTTAAGTATAATTAAGTTTTTCATTCAAAAGGTTTTAAACTGATGTTTTCATTCAATTTTTTTTTATTCTAATTGTTTTCCAAAAAAAAGTAAAAAACAAAAAATTTTGTTTAATAAATCGAATTATATTAAGTATAAGAATATGCTTAAATTATTTTTTTAGAAAAAAATTTTAAATAATAAATTAAAACTTAATAAATAATTTATTAAATTTAATTTAAATTTTTTATAATTTTTATTTTAACTTGCAATGTGCAATCACTGCTTTGATGTTTACAATAGAATGTTACTACTTTTAAAACTATTTTCAAGAAAAAATATATAATTCAAAACGTTAACAAAATTTACTATTTACGAAAAAAAAATCTTTCATCTTCATTTTCCCTTGTTTCATCAAACTTTTTTTAAATTTTTAAATTTTTTTTTCAATTTCAAATTTCAATCACAAAATTATTTGAATAAGTGAACTTTAAGGCTAAAGTTCTCTTGTTCAAATAGATTTCTTTTGAAATAAAATTCCTGAAAATAACTTGCATATTTATAGAAAATGTTTAGTCTAGATGTCGCTATAAATAAAATGAATATATAAAAAAACTGGTGTCGCGTTTTTCATATTCTATTCAACAATTTTTGTTAAAATAATTATTAGTTAAAAGCTTATATTATGTTTTAACAATATGTAAGATCTAAATTGAAATATGTCTATGGCTAACTTTTGCAAGTATATTAAATAAATTAATATAATTGTTAAATTAATACTTGAGTAACTGTAAGTTACTATCTTAACTTTACTGGTTTTTTTGATTTAGGTTATAAGTTAATTTACTGTGATATACTCTATCCATTCAGTAAAGTTAACTAAATATAACTTCAATAGTTACAAGGTCGTTAAAAGCGAAAAACGTGAAAGCAAAAAAGTTGCTGGTTTCTTTTAGTACAATTTTACAAAAAGAAATTTTATTTAATAAAAACGAATATATATATTTTTTATTATACTTAAAGTAGTAAAAATAATTATATAAAATTGTTTATAAAATAATAATTTAATTTATTATTAATAAGTTAATTTGGAGCAACGTTTTTTTAAAAAAAAGATAAAAATGCTGTTTTGTTAAAAAAAATAAAAAAAAAAAAAAAAAAAATTTCTTTTTAATTTGTTACTACGTAGAGATTTAAAGTAATTTAAATTAAAAAATGCTTTACTTTGAATAAAAATCTCAGCGCAAAAGAGCAAATGATCATGCTTCTATTCAAAAGACAAACCTTGTGTGACGTACTTTACTATGAAAACATTACTTTTTAAGAATTGCCAAAAAAAAAAAAAAAGCTAAATTAGAAAAAAAGTAAATAAACAACTAAAAAAGTAAATCAATCGCGAAAATATATTAAAAAACTATTCGCGAAAGTATAAAAAACAATCGCGATACACAGTTTGAAAATTTTGGACCCTAATACCAAAAACAACTCCTATGAAAACCCTTTTGAGGGGTGTTAGTACATACCATAGGGATCTCATAACAAGTAATTTTGAAATCCGGGATTACTGTCCGCAAGACTTATTCAACATTGAAGTTTTTGCTTTTAAATTACAAAACCTGAAAAATTGCAAAATTCCTCCAAAAATATTTGGCTGTCCTAAATTACCATATTATGAAGTAATAAGGTAACAAATGATAAAAATACATCTTAAAACATTTATTTATTACAAAATAAATACATTCTAAAGATAAACTAATAAATTCTCAAAAATGCAACGTGTTCATTGATGTTCAGTGCCTCATAGCAAGCTACTCTACATTTTCTTGCTGTTATAATCAATGACACACTTCAGGAGTTGACTGGAGTAGTCTGGATGGGTGTTCAATCTTTTGTATTGTTGCCAATGCTTGCCAAAATCCGAATGCAATGCTTCAGTGGCTTATTCACTGTATAGACCAAGGCTTTTCTTTCTGAGCTTGATGAACTGTGCCACATGGTGGAAAACAGTGTGAACCTTTGGAGTAACAGAGATTCCCAAACTCATGTAACTGTTTTTGAAGATGGTGATTTTTTCCTCATAGTTTGGATGTAAAGTTTTTCCAAAGCATGCAGAGACAACTTCGTGAAAGTCTTTGAATGTCTGAATGAATTGAGATGGCTCAGAAGTGCTCTCATTTTTAGCCATTTCAGCCAATTTGTCAAATTTCCTCAGAAGCTTCATGCAGTCATTGCCATTGAAGTTCCCTCCATGAAAAGGCTGAACCTTGATGTGCAATGAAGTTGGCCATTCTGTGGCTTTTTGCCATCTTTGCACTAAGCATTTGAACAGATGGTTGACCACCCCTAGCAGAAGATGAAGCTCCATAGGTGGGATGAACTCCAAAATCAGTGCTTGATCAGGACCAAAGATGGGACTATGGACTATGGACAGCATTTTGGAACTCCTTGGATTTTCTTACATCTCTGCCACTACCCACAAAGCTCCAAAGGATCGGGGATTCCCACACAGAAGAAGCTTTGAAGACTCAATATCACACCACCAGCAAGGGTGCTTGCTGCTATGAGACTGGATGCCACAAATAATGTTTGCAAGTTTGATATCGCAAGAAATTACTGCAGCTTCTGATGAGATTAGTTCTTTAAGCTTGATGAGTCGAAAAATTTCTTGCACATTCCAATAATTTTCAGGAGTGTCATCAGCAACAGACTTTGCTTTGAGACTTGTGTCGTGAGTTTGGCAGATTTTTGGACAGGACTGTGGGGCTCTAGGTTGTTTTCTTTCTCATCAATAACTCCAATGCTCACTTTTAAGAATGCCCCTCCTCCATCAATACCTATTTTTGCAAAGGCAGTCTTTGAGGAGCCAATTTCTTCTTCAATCCTATCTTTCAAGTCCTTAATGCTTTTGCAATGAACCACAACCCTGTTTTCTCCAGAATCCAAAATCTTCAAGCTGCTGACAGTAAAAAAGTCCTGCAATTTTTGTCCAGACTCAGCAAACTTTTTTTGAAAGTTTGGTTCAACTAATCTTGTTGGGCTGATATGATTGATGAACGATCCAAGTTTCCTCATTCTGTTGTTAGACAATTTTGTATTCTGTTGAATTTGAACCATATCCCCTGTTGAAGGTCTGAAAGGAAAAAGCTCTTGAGCAACAACACCACCTAAAAAAACGAAATCTATTAGCATTCTCTAAAGAAGAATGTGGTAAGTATACATTTTACCTTTTCTGATTGGAAGATGCATCCCACTTGATTGACTAAGTCGAATTGTTCCTCCAGGAGATGCTTTCTTGGATGTAACAATGGAAGATGCAACTTGTTCAGCTCCTTTAGGATCTGACAATGCCAGTTGCTTCAAGTTTTCATGGCGTGAACCAATTGTGCAATGATGAGAAAGGCCTCATGAGAAAACAGACAAACATTTTGTAAAACGTTTTTCTGAACTTTTAGGTGGCTGACTGGTTGTTGCAGGCTGGTCTTTTTGCTCAAGTGGGTGAGTTTCTTTACCTTTGAGCCTCCCAATTTGGCAGATCAAACAATCACAGGTGTTTGAACTTCGAGTTGCCGGTTTTATTTAGATGTCTTCAAACCTGTACAATCTTGGTTTACACGTCTTAGGATCCTCATCTTAAAGCTTTTTCAGTTTAAAACGACATGTCTGACATGAGGCAAGAGGAACTCTGCAGTCATTGAAGCTCAGATCATTCTTGATGAGGCGCTGAATCCTTAGCTTTAAAAAGTCTGTCAGAACTTGGTCTCCTTTCTTCATGCAGATAATGCATACAGATTTTCGACAATTCTCGTGGGTTTTTGCTGAATTGGGCATTTTTGATGCACATTCTACGAATTTTTCTTCAAAACTATGATATTTATGAAGCCCTTTCCCGGAAAACAATCGCCGTAATTTTGTTGACATTATTTTGGTGATAAAAATTTAAAAAAATCATACTGGTGTTTTAAAATACACCAAATACTATCAAGTAACACTTTCTTAACCTTTTGATACTTGTTATATTTAGAAACGTTGTGTAAACTTGTGTCAGAAAAATTTTTCAGTAAAAGTCACAGCGTTTCATTAAGATAAAACTAATAAAGTCAAATAAGTCTTGCGGACGGTAATCCCTGATTTCAAAATTAATTGTTATGAGATCCCTATCATATGTACTAACACCCCTCAAAAGGGTTTTCATAGGAGTTGTTTTTGGTATTAGGGTCCAAAATTTTCAAACTGTGGATACGCTTAATTCAAGCCCTGGACTATATTTTTAATATATTCTATATAGTTTATAAGAATACAGACTATATTCTTTGTAAAGACTCAATCATTAATCTTGATCACTCAACTTACAATAAATTAATATCTATTTGGGCTCGAAACATAAATTTGTCTTAATGAGCAGCATTTGATGGCCTATTTCACCTGAGCACACTTTAAATATAAAATAATAAATTTAAAGTTTTTTATGTAACTGCCTAACAGGGTTCAGGGCGAGTAGGTGTAACGTGTGGGAAGGGGGGGGGATTCCATTACAATTTTGCCAACATAAAAAAAAAGGTTATATTTTTTGAAACTTACCAACAACCTAGTTGACATTTGCCCACTGACTGTCTAAATTTGTCAATTAACTAATCTAAAGAGTCAACATTTGCCTATTGACTTGTCTAAAAGGGTTAAATTTGCCGAATAAATGAATAAAAAAAATCATTAATGGGAAGGTGTCATACACACCTCCATTGCGTCGGTCTTACTGCCTAATCTATGCAAACTATTTTTGACCAATTCTTATTTTTTTATCAATATTGTGGTGAAATATTTTTGTAAGTATTTAAAATCTTTAATTACTAATTACTTAACTATATGTTAAGTTTATTATATATAATACTTAAATTAAATAAAAACTCCTTACCTCATTATTTAATTCAAAAAAATTTTCCCTTGATTTTTTTTGACAATTTTCATTTCTGCTACTTGTGTACGCATCATATTCTCCTGATAATTCTGACTCTACGACACTTGAGTCTTCTGATTCTCCAGAGTATGCAAATACGCCCAGCGCTATAAAATAAATGTATATATACATATGTGTATATATATATATATATATATATATATATATATATATACATATATATATATATATATATATATATATATATATATATATATATATATATATATATATATATATATATATATATATATATATACATATATACCCAGCTAACGCAAAATGTTCATGTACATTCGAAGAAAGTTGTGAACGCTTGAGCACATTTTATGAACGTTTGAGCACGTAATTAAAGGTTCGCAATGTTCATTGAACGTTTTGTGTTAGCTGGGTATATATATATATATATATATATATATATATATATATACACATATATATATATATATATATATATATATATATATATATATATATATATATATATATATATATATATTCATAGAACATGCTCAAACGTTCATAAAACATGCTCAAACGTTCACAACTTTCTTCGAATGTACATGAACGTTTTGAGTTAGCTGGGTATATATGTATATATATATATATATATATATATATATATATATATATATATATATATATATATATATATATATATATATATATACATATATATGTTACAGTATCAATATTTAATTGCGATTTTTCACTGGTCCAGAAATCATTACCGATTGAAAAACTCTTTTAACTGCTGCAATAGTACCAGGACAGCTCAACTCAAATTCAAGCTAAATTTTCATATGGAATGTGTTCATTTTTAAAGTGGTCAAACATTTCCACCCATCTTTTATCAATTTTGACATTTTCATTTCTCCATAGTTCTAATTTATCTGAACTTAAATATAAATTTATTCATCTTATTCCATCATACAGACTATTGTCATTAATTTTAATATCAAGAATTTCTGTTAATAAAAACTCAACACATTTTTCTATATCTGCCCAATTAACATGTGAACTCAAAAAACACCATTGAAAACTGTTACATGCTGTGATATTTGTCTCAGACCATTCTTCGACATATTGGAAGCATGTTTGATAAAAATTCTGCACTTCTTTGGTAAATTTAACTCTTACCCCAGGATTTGACTCTTCTAAAATTGATAACTTTTTTTTTATCATTAGAGGAATAAAACTGTCTTTAAGTCGTGATTTATATTGAAGGATAAAATTGTTTAAAATAAGGCAAACCTCTGCAGCAGATATATTATCCCTTTCAATCTTTTGAATCATTTTGTGAAATAAAGTTGCCTGATTGTGAACAAAATACATAAATATCTGATAATTTATTATTGAAAAAAGCTTCAAGAATTTTTGGACATATTTCTAAACTTAAAAAATATGAACGGAGGGGTTCAAACAATATTAAAATACGCTCAATAGCAGGTGTTAAAGCAGGCCATCTTACTTTTGAATATCATTAAAGCTTTTTGTATTCGACATTTGCTTCTTCGCAAAGTTATTTTAAAGTAGCCACAGTAAAACAACTAAAATACAAATAAACTGTGGCAATTATAACTTCTACATCAATTGCCAGTGCACATGATTCAGTGTTAATTGCATTTGACAAAATATGTGCATTGCAACCAATTCCTAAATGCTTTATTTTGAAGTAAGTCCTGTAATTTTACATGGACATTATTTACTCCTTTCCGTCTTCGCCCACCAAAATTTGTATTTGTATTATCAGCTGTTAGTGCAACAATTTTAGATTTCAATTTATTTCATTTATAACCCTGTATAGGTGCTGTAACAAAATGTCAGCAGTTTCACCATTTCCATAGATTTTATATTTAAAATATTTACTTGAATGCGCTTGGTAATATTAAAATACCTTACTACTATTGGATACAATTTGCTTTCGTTGTGATTTGAGGCATCAGATAAAATTGTTACAAGTCTTGCATTTTTCAAGTCTTCTGCAAGTACTTTATCACAGCCATTTTTAAATACTGATTTAACAATAGCTTCACATTTTGTCCTTGCACATGAACATTTAGCGTTATGAAATGTTTTCATTAATTTACTTGTACAATCCATACTTCTAAAACTTTGATTATGAATTATGGTATGATATGCAAAAGTTCCCTTCATTAGAGCTAACTGTTTTTCACCCTCAGAAGATTTAAAAAAAATTGTTACTTTACTAGTGGAAACTGAAGTATCTAATGACTTCTTATGTCTGTTGGTGTTTAAGTGTTTTGTTATAGCACTTTTTCCTCCAACTGCAATACAAAATTCTCCTTTGCAAATATTACAAAATACAATAATTTCACTTTTTGATATGAGGAAATCAAATTCGTTTTTCAATTGAATATTAAAATGACATTTTTTCTTGTTTGACTTTTTCATTACTTAAATGAAATAAAATAATATTAATGTAAACATACTATGTATAAGTAGAATTAAGAATTCAAAAATAAAACATAGACTCTAATTACTTGAGCAAAATATTTGCAAATATTAAAAAAACAAAACACTTTGTATAAGTTATATTATTAACGCTCGACTATGGAATTAGATGAAAGACCAGGTGAAAAAAAAAAGTAATTGCATTTACTTAGCGTTTTTGGAGCAACTTGTTCAGCTAACATGAATAAAAATTCAAGAAAATTTGCTCAAATTTTTATTCACGTGAAATCAATTTACTCCAATAATTGCTTAGCTTTACGTGAGTAAAAAGTTTATAAAAAATTTTTATTTGTGTAAAGTTGACCAATTACCAAGTAAATGCATTTGCTTTTAAATTATTCACCCAGCCTAAACAGTGAAATCTCACTAATAGAAATCGCGATATCCCAATGTGAGCCAAGAATTAAGTAAGAAATGGCCTTAACTAGTCAGAAATCACTCATATTAAAGTTGCAATTAGTTTTTAAATAATAAAACTAATTTTAAAATATTAAAAAGGAGGACAAAAAGGAGGACAAAAAGGAAGACAATGATCATGGTAGGGCAGAACCAAAAAAAAGGGGACTGTTCTTCCAAAAGGAGGACGATTGGTCACTTTATATATATATATAAATATATATATATAAAGTTGAATCATGTCTCCTCTCTTTCTTCTATTTGTTAATGTAGTTAAGTCAAGAGCTTTTAGACGATTCTCATAGTTGATTTTCTTGAGTGATGGTATTAGTCAAGTTGCACTATGTTTAACTCTTTCCAGTAAGTCAATTTCACCCTTTTGATTTGGTGACCAAACGGGTACTGCAAATTCTAATAGTGGCCTGATAAAAGTGATTACATAAAGTGATCTCAATAGTCTAATATCTAAACGAACAAAGCATTTTCTAATCATACCCAACATTTGATTAGCTTTGCCTACACATATCACTTGATTTTTCCATTTTAGGTTGTTTGAGAAAATTACTCCTAGATCTCTTTCAGATTCTGTTAGATTTAATTTTTGTTTATTGATATAAAGTGGTGCTTTTCTGTTATTAATCCCATAGTGCATGAAATATTGAACTTTACAAGCCACTCTTGAGTCCACTTAAAAGCTCTATCAAGATCTGCTTGCAAATACACTGTTGATTTGTAGGAAATCATTTCATTCATTAATTTAGCGTCATCAGCGTACAGCATAGATATGTTTTTTAAGGTTTCAGGAAAATTGTACGAACAAAAGTGATCCAATTACGGACCCCTGTGGCACACCGCTGATAATTTCTGCCCAAGAAGATACGTTTTCGCCTAGCACAATTCTTTGTTTTCTATTTTTCAGAAAGGCTTCAATCCATTTAATTGTTAGACCAGATATTCCATAAGCTGCTAGTTTTAGTAACAGCCTTTTATGGGGCACTGTGTCAAATGCCCTGGCAAAATCCAAAAAAATAACATCAACAGGTTTACCATTTTCTAAACTGGTGGAAATAAAATCTAGTGTATCAAGTAGATTTGTTGTGCATTATTTACTTTTAACAAAACCGTGCTGCTGCTTGACTATGAGTTTATACTCATTCAGAAAAATTTCAAGTTTACATCTCATTATACCTTCCATTATTTTACAAGCAATTGAGGTGAGTGATATTGGTCGGTAGTTTACTGCTTAAGTTTTTTCACCTTTTTTGTACAGAGGAGTAATATTTACTGATCTGAATTTCTCTGGCAACTTGCTAGTTTCAAACGATTCTTTAAAAATATATGTAAGTGGAATAGCAAATGCTGATGCACAGTTTTTTAAAATAGCTGAATGTAAGTTATCAACACCACTTGATTTGTTTTCTTTCAAGTTTTTTAATCTTAAAAAGACATCTTCATATTTAAAATCTTCTGTTGTCATAATAAACGTTTCATTTGTTCTTATCTGAAAGTAAGGCAACGGACCATCGTCTTCTCTCACAAATGCTGCTTGAAAGTTTTTGTTTAAAATATCCGCAACATATTTTGGATTTTGAGTGGTTTCACCATCCGTTCCTTTTAATGCTTTGATTGAATCTCTGACTGCTCGTTGATTGTTTATGTAGCTGTACAGGAGCTTTGGATTCTTGGCAGCTCTTTTTACCAGATCATATTCAAAGTTTTGTCAACTTTTTTGATCTCATGCTCTACTTTTTTGCAAATCAATTTGTATTCAAATTTTAGAACAGGGTCTTTCCATTTACACAATTTTTGTATCTCAAATTTTGCTTGCTTCTGATAAGAAATTTTAAACTGGCATTTACCCAGGCTGGTCTGATTTTTAGAGAGTTGATTGTCATTTTAGTAGGAGTGAAATGATTGCATGCCACTTCTGTGTAATAAATAAGTTTATCAAACATTTCCTGAACATTTTTATCGCTAAAGCATGTTATACAGTCAACATTTGAAATTAGATTAGATATTTTGTCAAACTTAGATTTGGCAAACATAAATTATTGCTTGCTTTTATAGTCACTGACTGCTTTACCAGCTAAGATAAAATCAAAACATATTATTTAATGACCTCTTTTTATATTTACCAGAACGAACTTTGAGTCTATTAAACTAACACTTGCTGACTGAGTTGTGAAAACTAAATCTAAGGTATTTATAAGTTGATCGTCTGACAGCTGGAAAGTTG